TGAGCACAAAACAAGGTGCCTTGCAAGTGCTCAGTGCACAGAAGTCTTTACAATAATGATTAATATTAAAGACAACAAAATCCTTGTTATCCAGGAGCAAAATTATGGAAGAGATAAGGGACTTGACCTGTTGACTATTCAAATGTCACAGTGATGATGAGGAACATTCAACCAAGCAAGAGAGCAGGATTGGAGATTAGCTATCCCAGGCCCCTTCTTGGGATGAAGAAATAGTCTCAAAGAGGTCTTGTTTCAGGTCCCAGGGCACGTAGCAAATTAGTGTTGGAATTAACATCAGCAACCAGTTCTTCCAGAGACATTGTCTGCCCATTATAGAACAGGATCCTCCAACATTGGATATGAAACCAAAGTGAAAGTCCCTCTCTCTGCAAGCACACACCTCCATTCCATTTGCTTCTGTATCACAGGGCCCTTGGGATAAGCCCATGGATGTTGGAAGATCAGGGAACATGACATCATGCTAGGCTTCTCAGGGTGCAGTCCAGGAGCCACTGTGCTGTGATGATGGGACATCTGGTACAAACACTGAATCCAGGGCTCCCATTCAGACCTACATTGCCTGACTCTCTATGGGATAAGCACGAAAATCAGCATTTTTGTCAAGTTTCCGCACTGGTTCACATGTTCACCCAAGTGAGAACTACTGGTATAGTAGTTACTATGAGCTCTAGAGTTCAAACCCCAGTTCTACCACTTACTCATTAAATCACTTTGGGCACAATTACTCAAGTTTTAGATGGATTTTCCACCTCCAAAACTAATGCCTACCTTATACATTTTGGAGGGTTAAATGTGACAACGTGTGTAGTCTTCCGCGGTGTTTGGCACATAGTGGAAGCTCTCCAAGCATACCTTATATGATTGTTGTGTTTGAGTTGTAACCAATGTGGCTTCACTAATGACTTTTTAGTGTTTAAACCTCACCTCAATCTGATGGCAATGTTCCCCGTCCTTCTGCTGCGTCTCTGGGGTTGTGATGTGTGCTGATCAGTGACTCTAACTTTGGACAGTTCCCAAGTATTGGAGAAGCATTGTCTGCTGCCCAGACTTCTCCAATAACCAGAATTGGAGAGAGAGAGAGAGAGAGAGAGAGAGAGAGAGAGAGAGAGAGAGAGAGAGAGAGAGAGAGAGAGCACGAGCGCGTGCCCATAGTTTCTCCTTTGGGAGACACCAAGTGACCATCTGGCCAATGAAGGGTCTCTCAATCCCAGTGAAAGAACCCCCACTCTGATGGCAGACTGTTGTCTACTATCCTCTTTGCTCAACATCAACAAACTTCTCTAAGTACCTGGGGAATGGAAGCTTCTTTCCCAGGAGACCTTGGACTTCTGGCTTTGAGCAGCCCCTGTGGACTTGTGCCTCTATCCTTTGGGTCTTTAGGACTTCAGTGCATGATGGCTGACTTCCAATTACCAGCCAGTGCATCTCTGTGCCTGGGGCTTTCTCTGATGCCATGGAAATACTTTTACCTTTGCACATGACAGGTTGAGATTGTTTGAATATTAACATTCCCTGAAGGCAGTCCTCGAATGATGGCTGATGGGAGTTGGTGTGTAGACACCCCAGCTCTATCTCCACTTGGGTGCAGTAATTCTGAGGGTATGATAATTCCACATGCTTTTCCAAGTCCCCCTGCGGCACTGAACTCCAGGCACTCACAGCAGGTGCTGGCATGATAAACTATTCATCACCGACTGCTTTCCTTTCTTTGCCTTACTCCCCCATCCCCTACCAGCATTCCCTTCACTTCTCAAGCTACTTGCAGTCAAATCTGTGTCTCGGGCCCCTTTCGAGGGAATTGTACTAAGGCAGATTTCTATCTGAAAATTTCAAACTTAATGCTAACCGAAGCCAGGCAGGAAATAAATTTTAATAAGTAGAGAAAGAATCCAAAATCCCATCTTTTTAATATTTTTGTGTTTTACAACCCTGGTCACTGGTAAAAAAAAGAAACAAAAAAACTAAAGTGCAAATCTTAGCAAGATTCACTAAGAATAAACTTAATTACGATATGGAGACCTAGCAATGGGACATTTTTTAAGGACAGGGAGTGACCTAATAGACATGACACAGAGTCATCAGAAAAGCTTCAAGCAAAAAAGTGTTCTGGAAAATTTGTTTAAATTGCTATTAACTAAAATTTTCTTTTACTGGTAAAGATTTCCCACACATTTCAAGTATTAAAAATGTAGCTCTCAATACTAATATTGGTGTGCCCTGATGAAAACTGAGGTTAGAATATGGAACCTTAGAAAGATCCATGGCAACCCCAACAGCATCACATATAATCAGTTTTATTGCCAGGTAAGAAATTCATATTAATATAGTGAATACATATGTTTACAAATAAACATTCTTAGAAAACAAACAAATGTTTTTTCATCATTGTAGGAAGTGTTATTGGTATCATAAACTCTGCAGTTGTTGACAAGTATTAACACAGGTTTACTTGCAGAACATACAGTTACTAAAATATTTGCACATAAAATATGCTCCATTTGCACAAAAACCTGGGGAGAGTTAGATGGGGAGGCCAGGCAGAGCCCAAGGCGGATGGAGGCTGAGATGCTCTGGGAGGGCCAAGGGAAGTCAGACTCTGGTCCCATGGGGTTGGAAGTTGGGACAGGTAAAGGCAAGTAGAGGCTAGTGCCAGGGGATGGGATGGGGAAGGAACAGTCTCTCTGCTTCATTCTGCTTTCTCTTCTATGTCTTCCTCCTCTAGCTATTGGGTCCTTGTGGGTCCATTGCTATCACAGTTTCCTAGGTCATCTCTTGTGATACTCTTTCAGCATCATGACATCTGTCCACCCTTCCCCAAGGAATATACTTCCCTGGCTACACTCCCCTACGCAGGTTTGGTTCCCAAATCCAATTGTAAGGTCACGAGACTGTCATCACTGCTACATCCTTTTGACCATGCCACAACTTTGCTGCCCAAATTGTGGCTACAGACCCCCAACAAACAAAGTCACTGCACGATGTTGGCTCAGAAGAGAAGGAACATGGAGAATAAATAAAATCCTGTAGACTTAGAGACCAAACCTTAATCAGGGTTGGGATATCAGTGAGTTGAAGTGAGCTGAGGGCAAGGAACAAAGTTGAGCTAAGAGGGAGCCAAGAACTACAGAACATTTGAGCTGGAGGGGACCTCCCGAATAAGTCAGCCCAGTGTTTCCTGAAGCATCGGCTGTGTACCACTAGCATATGCAAAATGGTTTTAAGTAGTATATGGACATAGCACTAATTAACATTAAGTCACACGGGAAATGATTTCCTTTGCAATTTTGTCAGTCCATCTGGTTACTTCAAGGAGAAAAATTGTCATTAGATGCTGGTATATCTTTAACAGCTCTTTAATATCTGCGGGTCTTGTTCTAATAAAGAAAAAGAGAGAAGGAGGAGATGGGGGGAGAAAATGGGGGTTGGGGAGAGAGAGAGAGAATGAGAGCAAACCAGGCTCTGGGTTCAGACCCTTCCACGGGCAATAGCATCTGGCTAGAACTTGACAATTGCTGCTTTGTTGCCTTTGTACTTATTTTTATGCTTCCTTTCTATTTAGAGTGACTGATAATGGTTTTCTATTTGTGATGATGACAGAAAGTTCTTCTTTTAAAAGTCAAATGTATTAAAAGTGAATCAAATTAGATACAAATACTGGGCCAGTGATACAGAGATGGCAAAAGTGTGTTGCAGGTACGCAGATAACGGAGTCAAGGAAACCAAGCCCAGGGGTGTTTACTCCACTCTGGGGAGCACTGGGGTCCTGCAAAGAGGCTGAGAATCTCTTCTAAATCTCCCACCTGTTTCATCCAGCACAGAGCCTTGTCCGTTATGAAAGGAGTTCCTATATAGTGGCTTCAGTGCGCAATTTCATTTTTAAAATGGGCTGAAGTTTTGTTATTTTGAAAAGCTTAAAAAGCTTGATGAGGCCTCTATTTCTCATGTTTCAGGTGGGAGACTAAAGCCCACAGAGATACAAGCATTGTCAATGTCCCCGGATCAGCTGGGAGAGGACAGGAGAAGACCCATCCGTTTTCCCTGTTTCTCTGATGTCAGAGAGCTGAGTGAGGCACAACCTGGAGCTCAGTATCCCAGGAAATGCTTGGAGTCTTTTGGGGACCACACCCAGCCTCTGACACCAGAACAGCTAGGGGGTTCTCAAAGATTCCTGTCAACTAGCTAAGACCTTTAGGGACTCAGTGAACATTTCTCACCTTAAATGGAAATCTCTTATTGCTCAACAACCCTCTCTGGGCTTTCACAAAAGAAATTGAACTAGCATGAAAATTGCCTTTGTTGGGACACCAAAGGGATAGTGGCCACGAGAACTAACCTGAAAACAACCTCAGGCAATTCTGGATGGGAGATGAATGCACTTGAGTATCTGGATAGGTGGTCCAGAAGGTCCCTGGGAATAATGGGATGCAGAAAAGCTTGACAGGTTTGGGGAGGTGTAAAATGGTAGAACTCATGGAGTTCTGACAGTATGGGAGTTAGGGAGATCTGGGTGTTTAGGTACCCCTGACACTGCGGCAGCCCCTCAGAGGGTGTGATGGGGTGGGCTCACCAGAAAAGGGAAGATGAAAACATCTACCACTGCAGAAAAACAGGAGGGAGGGAGGCCAAAAGAACACAGGTTGCACTTGGGAAATAAGACTGTCATTAAACAGTAACACATTGAAGGCACCACCCACGCTTATGACATTTTCAGTCCAAAGCAGTTGAAATTCGGCAGCGGCGGCGGCAACGGGCTGAAGGGAAGGGAGTCGGAGATTGACAGTGGAGGACTGGTTAGTGTCTGTGTCTTGTCTCAGGGGCAAGAGGGACACACCAGCAATTGGACACTCTGGGTCCCCTTCTCGCCTCTTGTCAACTTTTCAGCTGTGATTTTTCTTTGAATTGTTCTTGATGTCATTGTTGATTTCCTAAGTCTTGAAGATTTGGAACAAAAAATGAATTTGTTGTTCTTGTCTGTTTTGTAGTAGACTTATATTTCATTTTTCTTTTTCTTTTTTTTTTCTAAAAAATGTTATTTAATACTCTCTGGACCCCCTGCCTGCCATAAAATCTCATCCCTCCCATTTCCATGGTCATGGTCTTAATAGGAGTCCTAAAATCATCCTTCTTTCCCATCACTGTCGGTGGGTTCAGGGTCATTTACATTTTGTGAGTCTGAGTATGTGTTGTTTTTTGCTTCCAACATTAATGATATGAAAAGGACTATAAATGGTTAGGGTCCAGTTACTGTCTCACGCTCATCAAAATTATGTGTTCACATCACCACTTTTTGGGATTAGAAAATGCTTATAATGTGCACAGGTTCCTCCCAAATGACTCCTCTTTTCAAGGACACTCATCTTGAGTGTCCACCCTCAGTTTCTACACCCCCCCTTGCACCCTGGCTCATTCACCCAGAAACAGCTCCTGGCAAATGGTATATGTGCTCAAATGGACAATCTCTCTAAATTGTGCTACTATTATGTTTCATCATGGATTTTAGTTTCAAGTTAAGAGGAAAAGAAAAATTAGCCCCACAGTTTTGGGCATGTGAGTCGGCAACTTTGGGCCTGAAGTCAAAAGAATGTGCTTCAGTGTCCCCTTGCTGTATTGCTGAATGTCCATGTTTCATTCCTGCTCAGCTGCCCGCCAACACGTGTTAGGTATGACCTGGGAAAAACGTGATTCCGTTGTCACCAGTAGGTTTCTGGTCGGTTGGTGTGGAGAGTGAGTGTGGGGGTGGCTGTGTGGGGGGAGGCCAGGGAGGGTGTGGGCCGGACTATTTTCTGCCTCTCGGTTGACTGTGCTCTCCAGGATGCACCGTGCAGCGAAAGCTCACACAGTCACTTCCGTTTTGCTGTTGGTGATGAAGTATGGCTGTGGGGGCGGGTAGTGCTGGGGGCGAGTTCCCAAGGGGTCGCTGGAGCCTGACTCAGCTGTGCCAAGCTTGCCCTTGTTGCCGTAAGCCTGTCGCCGGAGAGACTGCTCGTTGGGGTCCCAGCCCTTGAAGTTGGTGGTGGAATTGTAGGCCAGGGGATGTGGGGGCGTTTTGTTGGTGCGAGACTTTTGTCCGTTCTGCTTGGCGGGGCCGTGCTCAGGGCTGAAGGCCCGCGGCTCATCCTCCACTCTCACAGGGTGCAGAGGTAGGTTCCCCTTGGCGGCCAGCTCGGCCAGGTGCCGGCGCTTGGAGTAGAAGTCGTCATTTACCTTGTCCGCTGGACAGTGGGACAGGTGGACGGAGAAAAGGAGGAGAGAGTAGAGAGAAGGGGGAGAGAGAGAGAGATAGTTAGGGACTGGCAAGTCAACCTGAAAACCTCATCCAAGTGGGCCAACAGTTCAAACGAGACACACACTAGAAACTCCACCTGGAACAGACAGAAGGAGGGACGGGGGCATGTCCTTCTCACAAACAAGAGCAGGACCGATAGGGTGAGGGCATCCCCAACAGCATCTCTAGACTCCCTCAAATAAACACTTCTCCCACCAGTCACACCTAACACTTTGCCATCCTTGGCTTTCTTATCAAATGCAAGAGTTGTTTCTTTGTTACGAAAAAGAAAAAAGCAAACAAAATATAACCAGAGTCATTGAAATTAAGAACAATCTAACAATAGCCAGAGGGGATGGGGGAGGGGACAGTGGGGAAAAGGGTTTTCAGGAAAACCTTTATAGTAATAAAGGACCCATGGTCAAACCAAGGGGGAGGGTGGAAGCAAGGGAGGGAGGTGGGTTTGGCTGTAGTGGGAGGAAAATGCAGACAACTGTAATTGAAAAACAAAAAAATAATCTAAATTAAAAAAATAAATAAAATGACACCTTCTTGTTAGAGAAAATATTGAGCCTGTGGAGAAATTTCTAGCCCCACCACTTAAGAGAGCCAATATTAAAAAAAAAAAGAAAAGAAAAATCCACTTGAGTGTGTTTTTTTTTCTGGTCTTCTCAATAAACAGAATGAATTGGGGATTTTTTATTTTTTTTTTGCTTGATTTTAGCAGTTAAGCAGATCTGTATTCACACCCCAACCCTTCCAACTACTAGCAGCGTAACACTGGCTAAACTACTTCTACTACCATTGACTTCTGCATAAGGCAAGTATTCACAATAAAATGTACATTTCATAGAGCTGTTTGGAGGGTTAAATGACATGATGTGTGTAAAGAACTTAGATATGAGCTACCACTATTATCATAATTATCATTATAAGTAGCTGATTTCTCATGTAATATTCTATTGAGCATTCCCCCTGTTGTTATAAATTATTAATAAACAGATTTTAATGCCTACAGAATAAATGGAACTATTAAAATTAATCAATCCCCCTATTGATGAACATTCAAGCTGTAATATTTTGCTAATATAAATAAGGCTGAAATGAGAATCTTCTAGAATAAAGCTCTTTTTGTACTTGGATTTTTGAATTTAGAAAAATATTAAAAATATTTTCTTAATCTGCATCAGAGGATGGCAAACTACAGCCCATGGACCAAATCCAGCCACCATCTATTTTTAAAAGTAAAGTTTTTCTGGAACACAGCCACACCTATTCATTTTCCCATTGCCTGTGGCTGCTTTTGCTTTGCAGTGGTTGATTTGAGTCCACATGACAGAGGCTGCCTGGCCCATGAGCCTGAAATATTTACTATCCAGCCCTGAAATGAATTATATGAAGTGAAATTACTTTTAAAGGGTGTGAATATTATTAAGGCCCTTGATATATATTGCCAACTGTGCTACAAAAGTTATACCAATTTCCACTCCATTTCACCACACTCTCCAGCACTGATTTCTCCTCTTTATGTTTCTTACTCTTTCCTTCCTTCCTTCCTTCCCTCTCTTTCTCTCTCTCTCTCTCTCTTTCTTTTTCTTCCCTTCCTCCTTTCCTCCCTTTCCTTATTTATTTGATAAATTTATGAGACCTCCTTTTATTGTTTTTGTCTTATAATTATTTCCTTAAAATATCCTCCTCTATACTTCTTTAAATCAATTCCTTACCAATACATCTTTGAATTCACATCTCTAGGAAGACCAGAAATATTTGCTGCTCTTTCATCCACACTTCCAACATCCAATTTTACTACACATGTGCATTTATGTAACTTCATAGAGATTATCACTGTTCCATGTTTCTTTTCTCATTTGATCCTTTCAACTACTGTGATTTTAACCTCTCCTAGATAGGATGCAAAACTGTCAAGCTCAGACACATGAAATGATTTAATGAAGGTTAACCACTACTAGTGGCTGAGCCAGGGTAGAACCTAAGTCCAACAGGCATTAATCTGATGCTTTTGAAAGGCCATGGAGGGAAAACTTTGGTTTCAGAACTGAGTGAGCAAAAATATACTGCATCCCTCTATGTCCATAGCAGACATCATTCATTCATCACAGGGCTCTCTCCTGGCAAGTGTGGCCTCTGCTCAGGCTCGCTCTCAGCACAAGACCCCAGGCAGTCACATGCTTACTTTCCTGGCTTAATTTGGGTCACAGGCAGTTTAAGTTGGATTTCTCTTCCAGTTAATGTAAATCGCCCTGAGAGATACAGTCTTTCAAGGGAAGGTCTTCCTTATTAATTCTAGAGCTGTCTGAAGATACAGAATGTCAAAGCCGAAAGGAAGCTGAGAGTCTGCCACTGAAGGTACTAAGAGCACACGTCCTTGAAATACCGTGCATTGCTTAAACTGGCGTGAGTGAGATTAGGTCCCCATCTTTCTGCCTTCCAGAGGATGTTCCAAGCTTCTAATGCCATGAAGTTTCTATAAAATGATGCTCTGATATCCCCCTTGAATTTCAAAGTTCATATATCCAGTTACGCACAGGACAGATTCACTGGCATCTCCCATTCCAGGTGGCCAAGCCTGTACCCATCAACATCACTTAGATCTGCTCTTCAGGCTTGTCCTTCTCTCTGGCATGGGAGCACCAACTCCCTAGCAACTCCAGGCACAAGCATGGGAGCAGCTGAAGGCTTCATCCTCTTCTTCTCCCCCAGCCGCTAAATCACTAAGTTCTTCAAGCCTTGCCTAACAAATACTTATCTCACCTATTCTATTCCCCCACCCCTCTTTGAATATTGCTCCAATCCCTGTCTCAAGTTTCACCTCCCCCGCATCCAGTCTCCACACTGCAGTAAAAGATATACTTCTAAAACGAGAAACTGACCATGTCACTCATCTGCCAAAACCTCTTCATGCAATTTGTTCAGTTATTTGGTCATTCATCAGGTAGGCGTGGGGCAGTGCTGGACACTAAAAATACAAGGCAGAATCAGAAATTAACCTTGTCTATGCCCTCGTGGTGTGGACATTCTACTAGGGAAGAACAGATAGTGACCAAGTAGTCTCCCAAATTACATAAAAGTATAAATGTGATAAGTGCTGTGAAGAATATCCGGTCTTACAAGTACAATGAGGTCTCTGAGTTGGTATGAGAACCAGATGTTGGAGATAAGCTGTCCCACCCCTTCACTTGCATGAGACTCTGTTATTCATCTTTCAAGACTTAGCTAAGATGTTGCCTCCTGATTCCCTGAGGCTCCCTTAGGTACCCCAGCTCTCTCTATCATAGTACTGACCATGCTGTTTTATAATGTTCCATTTTCACATCTATGTCCTCCTATTGGACACAAGCGCTTCAAGAGCAGGGGATTCTATCCTTCCATCTGTACAACTTAGTGACTCTCACCTGGGCAGTACACAGGAATCACATAGGGGAGCTTATAAAGATTTCAGATTCCTGCACCCCTTCTCCAATTTAATCAAAATCTCTGAGAGTCTGGCTCAGACACCGATTTTTGTAAAGCGCCTCCCAGGTGATTCTGATGTGCAGACAGCAATGAGAACTGCAGGCTGAGCATCTAATACAGATTTTTGTAAAGAACTAAAAGGGAGTAAGCTCCCATCTCACTCCTGTTATTCTCAGGTGGCTCTCATGTCAGATACCCTTCTCTTCTAGAAGTCTGACAAGGTCAGATCCCACCACAGTAAGCTCTTGTCCGTGGCATGTATCATGCCTGCCCGTTGACTTTCCTTATGCAGTTCATTCATTATTGTTTATCTCTCCCAGTAGAGTTTTAAGAGGGCAAGGCCAGGTCTGATTTTTGCTCATTATTGCCTAAGCAATGTCTAGACTAGTTTCTCGAAGATATTACATACTCAATAAATACACATTCAGTGAATGAATGTGTGAGCAAAATACCATAAAGGAGTAGAGAATATCAGGGCAATAGTTGGAGTGGATACTCCTTTCCCCCTTTTCTCCTAGTCATCTCTTATTAGAAGCCTCACTCAGTGTCACTATGCCCCCAGGCATGATCCAGAATCATTCATCCCCATGTTTCTCCTTCCAGACAATGGACTAATCTAAGGTCTGCTCAGAGAGAGGGATGCCTTCAAGTGTTCTTGTTTCTGACAAGCTGAGAAAATTGATTATGAAGTAGATGTCCCAACAGCTGAGACAGATAATGTCTTCTCAAAGACTTCTAAAGAAAAATAGTCAGAAAGGCTTTCCACTCTTGCCACATCAATGCAGGTATGGGAAGGCTTAACTCCATTAAGAGGACTCATGGAGTTCCACATGGAAAATCTACATCCTTCTTCATACCCAACCCTGAACTTGTCTCTTGGTGAACCTGGCATTGGGTACTCCCTGAACACAAAGTGTTTAGTCTGTGGTATGAGAGTGGAGTGGTCAGAAAGTCTGTGGGCTCTGTGATCAGACACATCTGAATTTATGAGATCTTAGGAATGTCATTTAACTTCTTAAACCTCTATTTTCTTAGGTATGAAATGGGAATAATATGAACTACTCTTAGGTTTATAGTGAGGAATAAATTTGGAGATATATAAGCTGCATGGCACAATTCTGAAATATGGTAACTATTCAGTACATACATTTTGCTTCCTGGCCTCTGGAAGAATTGGGTTAAATCCAACAGACATTTACTGAGCAGTCACTCTGTGCCAAGCAACCTGCTCAACACAAAGAGGGCACGTATCCAAACCAACCATCCTCCTCTCATTTCTTCCTTTCCTCTTTGTTCCCCACCTGCCACAATGTGCGTTGAGGACCTACTTTGCCCTATGAAATGGCGTAAGAAGGGGCATTGACCTGCCTGGGCTGAAGAGCTGATTAGGGATGAAAATGTTGCCTCCAAATTGTAGCTGCAATTTCGAGGTAAAGAGTCACAGAAGCAGCATTGCAGGTGAAGGAACATGAT